GAGGTGAATGTATTCAGATATTTGGGAGTGGACGTGTCAGCGGATGGGTCTATGAAAGATGAGGTGAATCATAGAATTGATGAGGGGAAAAGAGTGAGTGTTGCACTTAGGAGTCTGTGGAGACAAAGAACTTTGTCCTTGGAGGCAAAGATGGGAATGTATGAGAGTATAGTTTTACCAACGCTCTTATATGGGTGTGAAGCATGGGTGATGAATGTTGCAGCGAGGAGAAGGCTGGAGGCAGTGGAGATGTCATGTCTGAGGGCAATGTGTGGTGTGAATAAATGCAGAGAATTCGTAGTTTGGAAGTTAGGAGGAGGTGCGGGATTACCAAAACTGTTGTCCAGAGGGCTGAGGAAGGGTTGTTGAGGTGGTTCGGACATGTAGAGAGAATGGAGCGAAACAGAATGACTTCAAGAGTGTATCAGTCTGTAGTGGAAGGAAGGCGGGGTAGGGGTCGGCCTAGGAAAGGTTGGAGAGAGGGGGTAAAGGAGGTTTTGTGTGCGAGGGGCTTGGACTTCCAGCAGGCATGCGTGAGCGTGTTTGATAGGAGTGAATGGAGACAAATGGTTTTTAATACTTGACGTGCTGTTGGAGTGTGAGCAAAGTAACATTTATGAAGGGGTTCAGGGAAACCGGCAGGCCGGACTTGAGTCCTGGAGATGGGAAGTGCAGTGCCTGCACTCTGAAGGAGGGGTGTTAATGTTGCAGTTTAAAAACTAGTGTAAAGCACCCTTCTGGCAAGACAGTGATGGAGTGTATGATGGTGAAAGTTTTTCTTTTTCGGGCCACCCTGCCTTGGTGGGAATCAGCCAGTGTGATAATAAAAAAAAAAAATAATAAAATATTATATACATATATATATAATATATATATATATATATATATATATATATATATATATATATATATATATATATATATATATATATATATATATATTTCTTTATTTATTTATTTATTTATTTATATCACTCGCTGGTATTCCTTATCGTTTTTATTCTGCCTCTGGCGTTACTATGGTTCCAGGGGTCGAGTCACAGCTTCTGGCCTCGCCTCTTCTCTGGTTGCTAATAGCTCCACTCTCTCCCTTCTCCATAAGTTTTATAAGAACATAAGAAAGAAGGAACACTGCAGCAGGCCTACTGGCCCATGCGAGGCAGGTCCAATTCTCCTACCGGCTTCAGCCAACACCCTAACCTAGGCAGATCAGGTCACATTCACTTAAGGAAGGAGCATGGTATCTGACCTAGTAGCACAAGCTAGTCAGGTCTAACTCACACCCATCCACACTCACTCATGTATTTATCTAATCTATTTTTAAAGGTACAAGTCTTAGCTTCTATGACAGTACTCGGGAGTTTATTCCACTCATCCACAACTCTATTACCAAACCAGTGCTTTCCTATATCCTTCCTGAATCTGAATTTTTCCAACTTGAAACCATTGCTGCGAGTCCTGTCTAGGCTGGATATTTTTAGCACGCTATTTACATCCCCTTTATTTATTCCTGTTTTCTATTTATACACCTCAGTCATATCCCCCCTAATTCTACTCCTTTCTAGAGAGTGCAGATTCAGGGCCCTCAGTCTATCCTCATAGGGATAATTTCTGATACATGGGATCATCTTTGTCATCCTCCTCTGTACGTTTTCCAGAGCATTTATATCCATTCTGTAATAAGGTAACCAGAACTGAGCAGCATAGTCTAAATGAGGCCTAACCAAGGATATATAGAGTTGAAGAACAACCTGAGGACTTCTATTGTTTATACTTCTAGATATGAAGCCAAGAATTCTGTTAGCTTCATTGCGAACACTAATGTACTGTTGTCTTGGTTTTAGAATATTGCTAACCAGAACTCCTAAATCCTTTTCGCAAGCAGAAGTATTAATTAAGATCTACATTATTTAGTTTATATGTGGCATGGTTATTTTCCTGTCCAACATTTAGAACTTTGCATTTGTCAATATTAAACTGCATCTACCACTTCTCTGAACAATGCATCAGTCTATTTAAATCATTCTGGAGTGCTCTAGTGTCCTCATTAGAATGAATTGGACGGCCTATTTTGGTGTCATCAGCAAATTTGCTTATGTTGCTATTTATTCCCTCATCTATGTCGTTTATGTAAATTGTGAACAACAACGGGCCCAACACTGACCCCTGAGGAACACCGCTTGCAGTATGCTCCCAATCTGATTTCTCCCCATTTATGCAAACTCTCTGCTGCCTATTTATCAACCACGCCTCTACCCGGGAAAAAATTTCTCCTCCTATTCCGTGTGGGTATACAATACCGACAGATTGGTAAGTAGGACACATAGACAACAGTTAGGTATCATTATTCCGAAACGTTTCGCCTACACAGTAGGCTTCTAACTGTTGCCTGTGTCTTACTTTCTACTCATAGGCTGCTACAACAGTTATTTGGTTAGTGTGCGCGCCTCAGAAGATGTACTGAAAATGGTACTCACCTCAAGATCATTTTTCTTGAGTGACTTTTGCTGCCTTCGACCTCCTTGGCTGTACTCCTTCTGGGGTCTTCTTTGTCCTTCCCAAAACCTCACGACTTTGTACTAGCTGCGGTTAAACTCCAGGAGCCATTTGACAAACCTGGCTTACAGTCTGTCCAAATCTCCTTATAGGTTTACCTGATTCTCGTCCATTAGTATTGTCCTCATTAGCTTCACATCGTCTGCTAACAGGGACACTTCTGAATCTATCCCTTCCGTCTTGTCATTCGCATATACAAGAAACAGCACGGGACCCAGGACTGACCCTTGTGGAACCCCACTCGACAAATGCACACACTCTGACAGCTCGTCACTTACCAACACAAGTTGTTTCCTTCCTGTCAAGTATTCCCTGATCCACTGAAGTGTTTTCCCTATTATTCCTGTCTGCTCCTCTAGCTTTTCAACCAGTCTCCTGTGTGGTACTGAGTCGAAAGCCTTCTTACAGTCCAAGAAGATGCAGTCTACCCAGCCCTCTCTCTCCTGTCTTGCTCCTGTTATCTTATCGTAGATCTCCAGTAGGTTTGTGTGTGTGTGTGTGTGTGTGTGTGTGTGTGTGTGTGTGTGTGTGTGTGTGTGTGTGTGTGTGTGTGTGTGTGTGTGTGTGTGTGTGTGTGTGTGTGTGTGTGTGTATTAACTCATAATCAGACTCCATAACATCCTTTCTTATATACTTGTCCTCACTCACTATCACCTTTCTTCTGTTATTTATATACTACTCTTTTCTGTCCCCATTATTTGTTTTCAGTCTTCCCACTTCCTGCTACTCTCTTTCTGCTTAATGTACTGCCTCTTCGTTTCTTACTTCCACTCTACATCTATATCTCCCTCAAAAGAGGAAAGAACTCATTCCCAAGACTGAAGACTGACTAAGTCTCAGGACTGAAGACTCAGTCGTGCTTACAGAATCTCATTCTGGCTAGACTCACGACTCGGCTTGTCCTACCTTTGATCCTCCCTGTGTGCTAGTGGAATATAAGGCTCAGAGAACCCTGGATCAACCACTACCTTCACTGCCACTATCCTTCACCTCCATTACCTCCATCCATTACCTGCGTTGCCACTACTGCCCTCGAAATACGCTAACAGCATCTACTACCTCCGACACCACCACCCACTTTCTGCGCTACCATCATTCACTTTCCCCTCTCTACCATCATCACACAAAGCTTTGTACCACCAGAAGTTTTTCCAGTGTAAATTTTCAGAGTGGACAATGGCGTACTAGGAAGATATTTAAGAAAACTTTCCACGAGAGGATTATCCAGTGGCCAATTTGCTAATAGTACCCTAACACACACACACACACACACACACACACACACACCACACACACACACACACACACACACACACACACACACACACACACACACACACAGCACCAGATAGTCGAAAATAAAGGGGACCTCAAGAGGTTCAGGATATCAAACACTCAACAGAGAAAGAAGTATTTAGTAAACGGACACAGATGCATCTAATGTGACATTTATTTCGTCAACATTTCGCTCTCAAGAAGCTTTGTCAAACCATTACAAACATTAAACTAAAACATAAAGAGCTGAATATATTGAAGACACTGGAACACGACAGTATCACTATGGATCCTGAGAGAAGGAACAGAAGCACTGTCTGAGCCACTAGCTTATACCAGATCAGTGAACAACGGAGATTTGCCAGAGATCTGAAATACGGCAAGTGTAGTTCCAATATTTAAGACAGAAGACCCACTGGAAGCATCATATTGACCAATGCCAATTAAAAACCCACTCTGTCAGGTAATGAGGATCATTAGGAAAGTGGTCGAGAACTTGTTTCATAAACAGTGATGTCAAATCTTGTTTTAAAAGCCTGTTGGAATTTTAGTAAAAAGGAGCAGAAGTGAGACAAGAGAGAAAGAGAGAGGAATGGGTGGACTGCATATTCCTGGATGGTAAGAATGTCTTTGATAATGTACTGTACCTTACAAGAGACTGAGGCACTTGAGGTACAGACAGGAATAACGCTGAAAGCGTAAGGGACCTTAATTTTTTTCCATGGATCGTATGTAACTACTAACTATTTCCCAATTTTCCAAGCGCTGTATAACTCCCTATGGACTGGAAGCTTACCCATGAATAATAATAATAATAATAATAATAATAATAATAATAATAATAATAATAATAATAATAATAATAATAATAATAATAATAATAATAATATGTTCAGTTTATCATTTATTTACACAATATATCCACATACATGATTGCAACTTTCTTTGTTGCTTAACAATATTTTATTTACATGTAAACTAGAGTTTGTATATTACACAAAGAAATAAAGATGTTAATTTTTGTTTTGAAGTTTCGCTCTGTGTAGAACTTTATCAAGCCTTGGTAAAGCTCTACACGGAGCGAAACGTTGTCCCGATAAAGATTTCTTCCCAACGTAAAGCCTATGTACTCCTCGTGCGTGTGTGCTGACTTGCCTATTCTTCCACAGGTGATGCAGAAGTCATGTCGCTGCGCCTTCATGTACGGGGAGCTGACGGACAAGGAGACCATCTCCAGGATCGAACAGTGTCTGGAGAACCAGCAGCAGGACCAGTTCGAGATCCTCCTCTACAAGAAGAATCGTGAGTGACTACACCCTTATCTTGACATACCTTGAGGTGCTCATGCTCACTCTGGGGCCTGTTGTGCTATGCCCACTCTGGGTGGGGCCTCTTGTGTTACGCTCACTTTGGGGCCTGTTTTGTTATGCTCACTCTGGGGCCTCTTGCTATAGGGTCAGTTGTGCTATGCTCACTCGAGAGTCGGTCGTGCTGTGCTCATTCTGGGGATTCTTGTGTTATGCTCACTTTGGGGCTTTTGTTATGCTCACTCTGGGGCCTTTTATGCTCACTCTGGGGCCTTTTATGCTCACTCTGGGGCCTCTTGTATTATGCTCACTTTGGGGTCCTGTTGCGTTATGTTCACTCTGGGGCCTGTTGTGCAATGCCCACTCGGGTTCTCTTGTGTTATGCACAGTTTGGGGCCTGTTGCCAATCTCTCTAGGGCTACGTTATGCTCATTCTCAGGCCTGTTGTCACACTCCCTTTGGTTCCTGTTGTGTCACTCTCTGGTGCCTATTTTGTCATGCTCACTCTGGGGCCTTTTTTCCATGGATCGTCTGTTATGCTCACTTTGGGGCCTATCGTCCCATGCTCACTCTGGGGCGTGTGTAATACTCACTCTAGGGCCTGTCATGCTCACTTTAGGGCTTGCTATTATTTTCGTACCATTGGTGTTATGCTTCTCGCACGTTATGAGAGTGCATTTTATAAGGTCATTATGTTATGCTCATTCAAGGGCAATAAGGCCTGATTGATATGTTCGGTTAGAGACTATATTATTGTTATCTTTGCTCAGGGTTTATGGTACCCTTAATATATCACCTTAATATATCATTGAGTTATGGTCAGTCAGGGCCTATGATACTATTATGTTATTCTCACTTAAGGGCTATGATAGCACTAAGTTTTGCTCACTCAGGACTTTGATACTTTTAAGTTATCTTCATTGAGGGGCAATTAGTCCGTTATGGTATAATAAGGGGCAATTAAATTGTTCCGTTATCTTAACTCCAGGGCCTTGAGGTTGCCACATTATGCTCACTAAGGGCCATTGATGCACTTATGCTATGCTCGCTAAAGGACAACAAAGCCGTTTTATGCTCACTCAAGTGTGGGTAGTTTCAAATTTAGGTTGGATAGCATTGAAAATTGGGTTGGTCAAATGTTTGTTAGTGGGATGAATTGTAAAGGACCTGCCTAGTATGAGCCAACAGGCCTGCTGCAGTGTTCCTCCTTTCTTATGTTCTTATGTTCTAAATACGGCTGTTATGGAAGGCCTTTTGTAATCCTGTTGCCATTTTTTTCACTACGTTCACTGTAGCTATTGTATATACTGTGCTATGGAGGACTGAATGGGAGGGGCCGTGATACTGCCCGTTATGATTGTTCAGGGGCCCACTATGCTTGTCGAGGGGGCCATTATGCTTGTCGAGGGGCTCATGCTCACTGAGGAGCGATCGTCATACTTACTGATGGGCTCATCATGCTTGTTATGGGGGCCATTATGCTCGTTGAGGGGCGACCGTCATGCTTATTGAAAGGGCTGACTTTCTCTCAAACTTTCCTGTCCAGTAGTCTGCAGTAGTATCTAAAAATTGTCATAAATCATATATATATATATATATATATATATATATATATATATATATATATATATATATAATATATATATATATATATATATATATATATATATATATATATATATATATATATATATATAATTATTCTGGGAAGACAATGTCCCAACAGCACCACAAAATATATTTCAGTACTATTTTTGCAGTTTTCAATAATTATAACCCATAGCTTCCCTTAATACACTCTACGTATGATCCATCATCCACCCTTTAAAACTGAATCATAACCTCACGGTAGTGACAACGTAAGTGGCAGAAGAATCACTCGCTCGCTCGTGTTGAAACTTTTATCACTCACTTATTCAGTTAGTAAACCTGACGTAGTTAGACATGATCTTTAGACATGATCGAGATTAATTACTTAAAACTTCTGCTAGACATTACAACTGGACATATCAACTATAAACGGTACTATTATCAGACACATTAACTACAGACGGTACTGTAACAGACACATTAATGGCAAACGGTACTGTTACTTGACACATTAACTACAAACAGTACTGTTAGTAGACAACAAACACTACTGTTACTAGACATATCATTAATGCAAATCAAATTTGGATACTTATTAAATATGTAAATTAAAATATCAACATGATATTAATATAACATCAATTGGATATTAACTACATATCAACTTGATATCAATTAAATATCACCTTGACATCAACTAGACAACCTATATATTTACATGACATCAACTAGATATCAACATGATATCAACTAGATATCAGCATGACATCCACTAGATACCAACTTGACATCAACTAGATGTCAACATGACATCAACTAGGCATCAACATGACATCAACTAGGCATCAACATGACATCAACTAGACATCAACATGACATCAACTAGACGTCAACATGACATCAACTAGATATCAGCATCACATCAACTAGACATCAACATGACGTCAACTAGACGTTAACATAACATCAGCTAGACATCAACATGACATCAACTAGATATCAACATGACATCAACTAGACATCAGTATCACATCAACTAGACGTCAACATGACATCAATTAGACGTCAAACTAACATCAACTAGACATCATCTTGACATCAACTAGAAATATCACCCATACATGTCAATATATCATCAACTATACATCAACCAGATGTCAACTTAATATCAACACATCAACAAAATATCAGCATGACATCAACTAGATATTAACGTGACATCAACGAACATACTTACATCACTAAAAAATGAAACCTATGCTTATTAAATATTAACACTTGGTGAGGTAGAGAGGAAGAGGAGGAGAGAAGGAAAAGAGGAAAGAAGCAAGGAAGAAGAGAAGTGTGTAAGTGGCAGGAGGAGCAAGAGTACTCTGAGAAAGTCCTGTGAAGAAAGAGTTGGAAATAATGAATTGAAATTGAATATTTAGATTTAGAAATATTTAGAACATTTAGTTTTAGAAATAATCCTCATAGCAGGTTCACCTGTGTCGGCTACATCTTTGAGAGGTAGGTGAAGGTGAGCTGCCAGAATGAGGGGCTCCCACCTAGGTGGCGGCCTCGTAAACTTTACGTACAACTATATTGGATTGCCCATAAATGCCTAAATGTGGGCCTAGTATAATAAAATCTAGCTGAGTAGGTATATACATCTCACCACTTAACAAGGAAACTGCTGGCACTGCCGTAAGGAGACGCTTACTTCATCTTGAGCTCTGTGCTTAGAGAGCTCCTTCTACCAGCTAGAACAGCCACCAGGTCATTGTTATTTTCCCCTGACAGTGCTACCAGGTCATTGTTATTTTCCCCTGACAATGCTACCAGATCATTGTTATTTTTCCCCTGACAATGCTACCAGATCATTGTTATTTTTCCCCTGACAATGCTACCAGATCATTGTTATTTTTCCCCTGACAATGCTACCAGGTCATTGTTATTTTCCCCTGACAATGCTACCAGATCATTGTTATTTTCCCCTGACAGTGCTACCAGGTCATTGTTATTTTCCCCTGACAATGCTACCAGGTCATTGTTATTTTCCCCTGACAGTGCTACCAGGTCATTGTTATTTTCCCCTGACAATGCTACCAGATCATTGTTATTTTTCCCCTGACAATGCTACCAGATCATTGTTATTTTCCCCTGACAATGCTACCAGATCATTGTTATTTTCCCCTGACAATGCTACCAGATCATTGTTATTTTTCCCCTGACAATGCTACCAGATCATTGTTATTTTTCCCCTGACAATGCTACCAGGTCATTGTTATTTTCCCCTGACAATGCTACCAGATCATTGTTATTTTCCCCTGACAGTGCTACCAGGTCATTGTTATTTTCCCCTGACAATGCTACCAGGTCATTGTTATTTTCCCCTGACAGTGCTACCAGGTCATTGTTATTTTCCCCTGACAATGCTACCAGATCATTGTTATTTTTCCCCTGACAATGCTACCAGATCATTGTTATTTTTCCCCTGACAATGCTACCAGGTCATTGTTATTTTCCCCTGACAATGCTACCAGGTCATTGTTATTTTCCCCTGACAATGCTACCAGATCATTGTTATTTTCCCCTGACAATGCTACCAGATCATTGTTATTTTTCCCCTGACAATGCTACCAGATCATTGTTATTTTTCCCCTGACAATGCTACCAGGTCATTGTTATTTTCCCCTGACAATGCTACCAGATCATTGTTATTTTTCCCCTGACAATGCCACCAGGTCATTGTTATTGTCCCCTGACAATGCTACCAGATCATTGTTATTTTTCCCCTGACAATGCCACCAGGTCATTGTTATTTTCCCCTGACAATGCTACCAGGTCATTGTTATTTTCCCCTGACAATGCTACCAGATCATTGTTATTTTTCCCCTGACAATGCCACCATGTCATTGTTATTTTCCCCTGACAATGCTACCAGATCATTGTTATTTTTCCCCTGACAATGCCACCAGGTCATTGTTATTTTCCCCTGACAATGCTACCAGATCATTGTTATTTTTCCCCTGACAATGCTACCAGGTCATTGTTATTTTCCCCTGACAATGCTACCAGATCATTGTTATTTTTCCCCTGACAATGCCACCAGGTCATTGTTATTTTCCCCTGACAATGCTACCAGATCATTGTTATTTTTCCCCTGACAATGCTACCAGATCATTGTTTTTTTCCCCTGACAATGCTACCAGATCATTGTTATTTTCCCCTGACAATGCTACCAGATCATTGTTATTTTTCCCCTGACAATGCCACCAGGTCATTGTTTTTTTCCCCTGACAATGCTACCAGATCATTGTTATTTTCCCCTGACAATGCTACCAGATCATTGTTATTCTCCCCTGACAATGCTACCAGATCATTGTTATTTTCCCCTGACAATACTACCAGATCATTGTTATT